CATTGGGGTATGTATCGATACTTTCACCCCTGTAAGTAGTTTTAAGCTTCCCCAAAGCTTTAAAAATCCAAGTTTAACACTCCAATAGTATTCCCAATTGATATTACACCTCAAATCATTCATTTAACTCAATCTCATACACATAAATTCATAAACATAACATCAAATCTTGATCAAAACCTCAAATTATGAGATTTATCATATATTTCCTCAAAGTTTTTGACTAAATGTCAATATATACACTCTTAAACACTAGGCATATATATCATATCATCAAAGTCCTCAAGACTCCGCATATTTCATACATCATTCTTAGTTTACTTAAAAAATTGCGGGTGTTATAGCCCACCAATCATGTCGATATCTTTTGTTTAAAGGATACGAAGTATAGTACACTTGAGTTGCTTATTCAATTAAAACAAAAACTCATTGCTAGCAAGAATTGACTTGTGACAATCAACCCATGAATAGGATCTATTTAAACACCTTTGTCGATATCAAAGCAATGGCATTTAAACAACATGACTCAATTGTTGACACCAAAGTATTGACCAACAATCCATAAAAGTCATAATCGTAATCATTATAACAACTTTTCTTAATGCAAACACCACTATTCATCATTTTATGATTGTGACCATAATCCAATGTGTGAAACCTGTATCCATTGACATAATAACCTTTGAAATACCTTGCCATACGACCAAGTCCATGAGAGATGTCGACAACATGAGAATCAATTTGACTCGCATGTTGGCAGACCTACGCAAAGTTACATGGCTTCCAATTATTTGAAGTATTAAATGAACAAAATCAAATTGGCTTGTTAAACATAACTTACATATTATTTAACCCCGTTACGACATGATGCATCACAGACTTGCTCCAATTCTTTCTCAAATATACTGTACTGTTCTCTTTTAATCATATCTTTGAACATCCTATAGATAGGAGGAAAAATTATCATGAATTAATACCATTCAGAAAATTTCAATTTTCTAAACTATTGCTTAAACTTATACTTACTCAATGCACAATAATATCTCATCGCAGTTCATCAGTACAAATAGTTCAACCGCATAAAGCTCATCTTTCTGTAGGTATCAAAGTTTCTCATATTGACCTAAAGGTTAACCAAGATAGGTGAAAATCAAGAGACCACCATCAGCATCAACATCTCCACCATTGTCATTCCCTAGTACCCGATTCATTCTTGTTGGGATTATAAGTTCAAAGTACATAAAACAAAAAGATGATATTTTCTCAATAATATATGCTTCACAAATGGATCCTTCCACCAATGCTTGATTTTTCACCTTTCAAATGCTTTAAAAACCTAGAAATCATAGTTTGTTTTTATATTATAATTGTCAAATACCTTAAGGTTTAGGGGTTTACCTCTCAAACGGATGCATCCATAGAAAATGGACCGATCCTCCAACCTTAGCTTCATATGGCAAGTGGATTGGCAAATGCTCCATTAAGTCAAAAAAATTAGGGGGAAAAATCTTTTCTAATTTAGAAACAGTTTCTACAATTTTCCCTTCCCATGTGTTGATATGCTCAAGAAGTAGTTCGGTTGCACATACATCACAAAAGAAATATAAGATATCAGCAATTGCACTCCATATAGCATGAGGGATCATATCATGCAAGGCAATTAGGAGCAACTGTTGCAGGAAAACGTGACGATCATGATTTGTTATCCCATAAAATTTACCTTCCTACTCATTCACATAGTTTGCCATGTTAAAGGCAAAACCATCTTGTAATCTTAACTATTTCACCCAAGCACACATAACTTTCCGTTGCTCTTTCGTCAAAGTGTATGAAGCTTTCAGTTTAAAAAGTTTATTGTTATTTTCAATTAAGTTCAATTCCAAATGCTTGAAATACACCTCCAAATCACAATGAGCTTTGATATTATCTTTTCTCTTCTCCAAAACATCCATCATCATGTTGAATATATTTTCAAATATGTTATGCTTAATATACATCACATCTAAGTTTTGAAGAATGAGATTTGTTTGCCAATATGGTAACTTCCAAAATATGCTTTTCTTAGTCCAATTATGGGTTTCACTAAAACGTAGTAACTTTTGGCTGCCCACTTTTGTACCACATGTGATATTTGGAATTGACTCCAACCATTCCAAGATCTCCACACCAAATAAAAAAAGGATTGGACCGTTCAACATGTTTCTTAAATTTATCTCTTTTATGATGAAAAGGATGATCCATTGGCAATAATTGTCAATGACAATAAAAAACCTTCCTCCCGTACGCCAAGAAGAAACTCTTTCCATGTTCCATGCAATATGAACATGATAAAAGTCCATGAATGCTCAACCTAGACAATATACCATATGCAAAGAAGTCATGAATGGTCCATAAGAGTGCTACTCATAGAATAAAATTTTAACGAGTAAAGGCATCGTACATGACCACCTCTTCATGCCATAGAACTTTTAACTCATTTATAAGAGCTTGGAGGAACACATCAATGTTTTGTTTGGGACTTATCTTCCCCGAGATGATCGTACTAAGAAAGATGTATGGTTACTTCAAGCATATCCACAAAGGTAGGTTATAGACACTGCCATTATAGTTTAAACAAAATATGGTTTCTCTGTCAACTTGAATGGACTAAAACCATTTGAATATAAACTGAGTCTGATGCTACAAGGCTCAAAGGCAAAAGATCGATGAGTATGATTAAATGTTGCCACGCCTCACCACCAATAAAATGCCTTAGCACTCCATCAATAAATTGGTGGGTGGCATGCCATGTCATGTGTTTCATAGTTTTTCCTTACATATATATCTTCTACATTCTCAATGTTAATGGAAAGTATCACAAAATATTAAAAGGAATTTTTTTTCTATCTTCCTCCCCTTAACTTATCCGATTTATACTGTGGATGACCACAAAATGAACAATAAGACAACTTAGAATATTTGTTATAAAACAACACAATTATTCTTACATGCATGAATTTTTTGATAGCCAAGCCCAAGTTCCTTTAGCTATGTCTTCATTCTATAGAAGTTTGTCGATAATGCTTCATCAAATGGCAACATCTCCTTCACTAGCTGCATCAAACAATTAAAGCATTGCTTACTCATGTTAAATTCTAACTTCTCATTCTGTAATTGGGACATAGTTGACAACGTTGTGTGTTTCTCACATCTAGCCTACAAAGCTACATCAGCACCGTATAACAATGAAAAGAAGGATGAAGTGTTTGGATTTGGATCTTCAGGAAAGATCAATTCATCTTGGGTCTCATCATTGAACTGAAACTCTAGTCGTAAAGCATCCATAACCATTTCAGAATATGGATTTTCTACTCTAAGTCTTTAACAACTTCGTTTTTCTCACCAACAAAATGTCTCGATGATTGGCTGACAAGGAACGATTCACCATGTGCATCCTATATTGTGTACACACCAATAAACCCTTTACGAAATAGGTGTTCTCGAACCTTTTCAGTAACCAAAAACTTGCTATTCATACACCAAGAGTAAGGACATATGATCTTATTCCAAGTCACATATCTAAGTTGACTAAACACAAATGAAATAAATTCATCTATGCCATTCACAAATTTTGTCTTCAAATATCCACTTTAATTGACTCGAGAATACATATAACTCCTTTCTCATTCCATTTTGAGAAAAATATTATAATAGACATATGATGTCGTCCATTATCAAATGTTGACACAAATATCAATCAAAAACAAAATCAAGCTTAAATACTAGATTTATAAAAATTTTATGTGTTTTGTGATGCTTTAATTTATTAAAATATTACTTAATTTTAACGAATTTGAAAATATATAATATTATATAATTAATATAAAAAAGCATTTATTAATTTTCCTTAATTATAAATTTTACTAAATTTACTAATTTATTTAATTGTTTAATTGCTAAGACATTACATAACTTTATTAACTAAATTATTTGATTAATTCATTCACACCTTAATTTATTTAAATAGTTTTTCATTTAAGTAATATTACTAATTTAATTAATTGCTTAATTACTAAAACATTTTTTCATTTGCTTAGTTAAATTATTTCATTAATTTAAAAAACTTTAACTAATTTAAATAGTTTTAAAATTTACTGTATTTACTAATTCAATTAATTGATTAATTACTAATACAATATTCTTTTCCATTAGTTAAATTATGTGACAATTAAATCCGTCAAACCTTAATTAATTTAAATAAACAAAGTATTATATAATATTTCTTATTTAATTAATTTCTTAATTGCTAACACATTACATTACTTAATTAACTAAATTATTTAATTAGCTCATTAACATCTTAATTAATGTAAATATTTTTTAAATTGCTTAATTAATCAAAATTTTTATTTATTTTTTAAATTATTTAATTAATTTAAAAATATCTTAATTAATTTAATTTTTTTAAATTTCACTATCTTTACTAATTTAATTAATTGCTCAATTACTAGTACTTGGTTACTCAATATATTAATTAATTCAATTATTTTTGAAATTATATAATTTTAATTACTAAACCCTAATTTAATTTAATTAATTACTAATACAATATTACTAATATGAATTTCTTTTCATTGTCAGTCATTGTATATAAGTCCCAATTTGGGTAAAGAATTGGTTGAGCAAATTAAGGGTGGTTTTTTCGCAACGTTGTAGCTTCCCTAGCTATTATATATTGGATTAAAACAAAAGTTGATTTGGTGAAAGTTTTGCCTAATGATGGAGCTACAGAATAGATTAATGCGATACCTCAAATTTGAAGGAAACACAAGCACCCAAACTGCAAATATATATGCCAAAACAGAAACTTTTGAAAATTTTCAATTATTTATTAAGCGAACAATTGGCTAACTTGTTCAACATTATTAAGTTTAGAATTCTTTCACCCAAAGCAAGACTAGCAAAACAAAATCCAATAGCCCAATCACAAATCCAACAACATTACTTCAGTGGCGCCAATGTTAAAACAATCAAATACATTGTCCATCTCAAGCAACTCAAAAACTTAAAGTCATGGAAAACAGCCATCAAAACCAATAGCAAAGCACCAATATCAGCATATTCTCAACAAAACCATTCAGTAACAATACCCTAAATTCCAAAGAAAATAAAATACCTTTTTAAAGTAGCATAAGCAACAAAAGCAAGAACTTTACCTGTTGAAGGAAAAAAGATCACACGAAAGAGATCAAAGAAAATATGGTTGGACAAGAAAAGGGGCGAGCAGGGGGCACCGATGGAAAAGGAAAATGGAGGGCATCAATGGAAAGGTCAAACAGAAAAAGGGGAGCCAATGGAGAAAGGAATGGATCTAATCGACAGAAGGCTGGGTTGGTGTTCCTCTGGGCTGTGAGGTCACGAATGGTGTCCAGGGTGGGGGGTCGAGGCTAGAGAGACATGATGACACGGAAAATTTTAGGGGAAAATAACGCGTGGGGGTTTTAATTTTGATTATCGACGAAAATTTCCGTTGGTGGTTATTTTTAAATTAGCGATGGAATTTCAATCGGCAACATTACCCACCTTCCAAATTGTATAACCGATTGAAATTCTGTTAGCAATTTGGTTGATGATTACCGCCAAACATTCAGTTAGTACTGTCCATCGGTGAAGACGTTGTCAACCAAATTATTTTGTCTACAAACTTGGCACCACCTTAATGCATTGCGCACCATTATTTTACCAACAGAATACCTACAGGGTTAACTCTATCAACATATGTCGTCAATAATCGATCAATAATACGTGGTGTCTGTATCCATCTTAATTTGTTACTGTTTTCTCGTTAGATACCAACAGAATCAATTTTGTCGGTTATGCTCTGTTTTTTGCAATGAAAACAGATAACTAAATATTAGATCATCTAAGGTGGGCTTTATCTCTCTTTTGCTTTGATTGACTAATTGAGTAATAACCTTAGCATGGTGGCAGGTCTAGTCATTTGGGATTCATGTCTAGGCATTAGAGAGATGGCAACAAAGAATCTAGAACATTGTAACTTAGATTATGATTTTTTTTCCCAATCAGGAAGGTTACTTTATTTTACAGACATACAAACAAAATTTTCCTTTTTATAAAATAATTGAACAGCAAAACAAGCCAAATGATTAGAACAGCTTCAATCACCTAGAAAGATTTATTTGATTTTTATCTCTAAGATGATTTGGTAAGTTTTATGTTTAAGCCTTAAATAAGATTATTTAGTTTGTTTACACACAAAACATTTGTTATATTAGAGTAGGGAAGAAAGTATTTAGTGTTATATGAATATATGTGTGAATGTCCATTATGTCATGATCCAAGAGTTTAGATTAAGCCAAGCTATCTAGATACGCCAAACATCTTAACAGACATATGAGTATAATATGATTTGAACTTTTAGATTTGATTATGTATATTTAGAT